TTGCACTCTCCACGGAAGAGAGCCTTATGGTTGGTGCTATACAGAACACAGAAGATAACCAGTTCTTTTCTTCTTTCTAATTCAGACAGACGCTACAGTTCAGACTCTTACAGACTAGGTTATCGGTTGAAGGTCTAAGCTCAATGTGGGGCAGATACATCACTTTTGATTTGGTTTTGACAAACAGTTTTCTCTTTGAGGTTCTGTCTCTGAAATGCTGCTTTGAAGCAGTGTGTTTTGAATATAGAAAGGATGCCATTTAGGGGGCAAGCCAGCTCTGTGGCTGAGAAGGTCCCCTCTCCAAGCAGAGCCAGTGTTCTCCTGCACAAGAGGTGGCTTGAGTAGATGGATTCTCACAGACAGACTGTACTCCTTGCCCACTATGGACTTTATCTCCCTGCATGGAGGGAAACAAGCCATGTGTATGGGATGAGTTTCTGATTATGTCAGAGTAGCCTTTATTGACTAGCTCTGCAGTTGCTCTCTCCCCATCTCTGCAGGGTCAGTGGGATGGGGAAACTTAATCAGAAATGTAAACTGGAGATGGGGAAGTCATTTATTTGCTCTCCATTCCTTTTGAGCGCAGCTGAGATAATGTGGATGGAAGGCTGGTTGCAGTTCCTTGATTCAAGGCCACCTAATCCTGGCACAGATTAGGGCCTGTACAGCAGCAACCCTGTCTTTTACCAGTGGCATTAGGTGCCTCCCCTTTCCCTTTACACTGGGGCTGGTAAGAACACAGGAGGTAGCAGAGCAGCCTTAGTCAGTAGACTGCCCCTGCTCAGGGAGGATTCTCCACTGGACTTTTCTGGTCTCTTTGGGACACTAATGTGGCATAAAATGGCCTTACCAGACCTGGGAGTCAGGCCCTAGGATGAGAAAATTATACAAGATACAGGAGCTGAGAGGGAACCAATGGAGGAATATGAAGAGGGGCTGACTTGGTCAGAGTGGGATAAAGGCCACTGATGTAAATGAGAGATTATGTTAAGAATAGGTACAATATTGGAACACAAGAAAGCCTGCTGTTTGGTGAATGAACAAACAATCCAAACATTGCAATGATTTTGGGAAAAAATATCAAAAATATATGAAAGGCCCACATTTTTACAAAAAATGGAACAGTCTGATAGTCATTTTTTTCACAAAAAGTCTTTCTGTTGAAAAGGGCTTTTTTTTTTTTAAAGGGTGAAAAAATAATTCATAAAATTTTGACCAGCTCTGCTAGAGAGCAAGGACAAACTGAGTTATGGGATACGTCTTAACTATTCCTTAACAGCCAACCAGCCTGTAACACTGACAGTGGCACACTGTACTATCCCAGGGAACTTCCTCCTGCTTCTAATTGATAAGGGAACACACAACATATTAATCTTTCATGTAGCATTGTGCCACATCCATCCATGGAGTAAGCTCATCTAATTCAATGGAGTTGAGGTGAGGCTGAATTTGGCCCACCATCTATATTTTGCAGACAGTCCATGTATTGACCTGGCCTGAGGGGGGTACTTCTTGAGTTACCATGAGTCTTCAGAGACTACTCTGTTTTTGCCCACATATTGCCAGTGAGGCAAACACACAGCTCAATAGTAAAGCTAGCCCTCTCCATCAACCATGTTTTCCCTCATTTGCTTGCTCACATATGCAGTCCTTGCACTGTCACGGCCTTCTGTACTTGACATCTTCAAACGTGAATTATAAGTTACTCTTGTACTTAGCACAGTGTCTGCATATGGACTTCAAAACATGCATAAGCTTTGTCCGTGGGTACAGCACTGTGATTTTTGCCCTGACCATGCCTCTCCCACATAAAACATATATATAATATATACATGTAGTGTGAGAAACATAGAAGAGCATGTAAGCAGTGTCTGGCCAGGAGTATTTAAAAGCCACCTGACAAGCAAATATGAGCAAGAGAAAATAGCTTTATTTAGCTCTGAAATGAATAATCACAGATTTCCAGAACATATTTACCCTGTTTTCATAATTCTCTGTTCTGAGGTCCCACAGTGAAAACAGAGTACCTCAGCATGAAACTAGTTTGATATTAGATATGGTTCAGGTTGCCTACAAGCTGCACATCTTCTTCCCAATCTAAAGCCTCAATTCTGCAAAGACTTATGCATGTGCATAATTTTACTCATGTGAATAGTCCCAGTGCAGCCAATGGTATTACTCAATATTTAAAGGTAGGCAAATAAGTATGTGTTTGGAGGACTGGGGCCTATGTTTTCACCTGGTTCTTTGTAAGGAAATTGGACATATGACTATTAGAACAGTTTAGATAATACTTAGACCTGCCATGAGTGAAGGGGACTGGACTAGATAATTTATCAAGGTCCCTTCCAGCGTTACGATTCTATGATTCTAACAGGAAAATGTTCTGAGAGGGAAAAGAGATATAACTGAGAATCTGAAAATCCCACTTTCATGTACTGTGTGTGCTTCTATGTTGAGCTCTTTCATAATCTGCAGAATGCTTTTCACACAATCATCTCTGGCAAGCACAGTAGAATTGAAATATATATTGGCAGTGTCCCAAGGCAGGTTCAATGCACACAGTAGCATTTAGAAGTAACTTTATTAATGAAAATGATGATAAATAAAAATTGCATTTGTTTTTGTCCTACAAGCACCTTTAAGTTGGCCCTAGGCCTTTGGAGAATATATACTTGCTTCAGTCTACCTTTTTGTCACCACCATGTGGTGGGACTCAATAGCATAGATACAAAGAGAAGAGGAATACTTGTGGCACCTTAGAGACTAACATGCCACAAGTACTCCTTTTCTTTTTGTGAATACAGACTAACACGGCTGCTACTCTGAAAAGAGAAGAGGGCTTCTCTAATAAGTTATCTACATTATGGATTGATTCCTGTGTATTCTGTTCCTTTCTTTTTTTTTTTTAAGTAAATTTCCCTGAAATCCATCTATTTGTAATATAAATCCTTAGTGAATTTTGAACGTTCCTTCATTAAATGTTAATGTTTTCAAGAAGATTGTATGCCTCATGTTGAGGAATTTATTGCCTTTCTTCATAGGTTTAACAAAATGTTATTTCTTTGCTTTTTCACCTGAGGTTCAATGCCACTTGCACATTTTAATAAAATTAAATAAATACCAATATTCCCATTTCAAATATTATCTAATCTAACATTTTGAATATTAAATTTTCTCTTATTCAAGTTAGATCCTACCACGGGGCATTAAAACATAGCATACAATTTCTAATTTTGATTTAATTCATTTTCAAATACTGAGTTTGCATAAATTATATTTAGGTGCCAATTTAGTGCCAGATCCTGAGGTGTACTGAGAACCTACAATTTCTATGGAGATCAGCTGATTTTTAGTATTTACCTCAATGGGAGCAGAAACATACCCTCAATATGAAATGCTACGCTCCTATTTCCTTTTTACTTCTGACAATAAAATTATCCATATATGTTTATTCATTACACTTTTGGGTTTCAAGACCAGAGTAGACAGAAGTCTAGACTAGTGAAGAGCTTAGGAGAAAAACAAAATAATTATTTAGTTAAATTCACCTGGTTCTCTTTCCTCTTCTAATTGTATCTGATTCTCATGGTTAAAGAATTCCTCATCCCAAGCTAGTCTATTATTTCTGGAACTTGTAGAAAGGTTAGTGAGTCTCCAGAGTTGTGATTACTTTTTCTAGTTGACATTTATTGATCTCATTACCTTCACGCTCATATTTCAAAAACTTTTTTTCATTTTGTTACCATTTCAAAGATGACAGAAATGCTGCAGTGCTCACTCTATTAGAACTGTATGTAATTAAAATGTGTACACTGTGTTTCATCAGAACTTCACTGTCAAAACCTCAGCATGTGTTGTTTACAAATTATAGTGTTATAATTAGAACCCAAAATTACTGCAAAAATAAAAACTGAATTTATATTTAATTAAGCATCTATTTTACTTTTGCTCTTCAGTACTGTGACACCCTTGGCCACAAAGCAAGTTGTCACTGTAATATACCTAATGTGAAATTCACCACTGTGAGGAAGCCGGCAGAAGTCCACTTAAGCCATCTTTTGAGGTTGTAAATTGGAATTACAGGGGAGCTGTTCTTCTTCTAGCCCTCTGCTCAGAGGAGAATTTCACACACTGATCTCATCACTCATTTGTTTTTCTGTTTTCAATTATCATTGAAATGTTTACATCATTGCAAAATTCTGTCTCCTCCCCTGTTCTACTCCAAGGTACAATGACATTCTACAATGATCCAGGAATAAGGAATCTTAAAACTATTTTTTCATAGACAACTAATAATGTAGGGATATTCATGTTCAATTAGTATCAGAATTATGAAGAACGCCAACTGGCAAAACTGCTGTCAACCTAAAATTTCTCTGGTGTGCGATATCTTTCTTTGTAAAAGCTCTTTAAAGGTTGTCTGCTGATGAACTATCAAGGACTACTGATAAAATGCTGTCACCATGATACGTGCATAACTAACACCGTGGTCTCCTGGTGGTGCATAATAAAATCTATAGAAATATATAGAGATGCTGTAGGTCGTGCAGCAGTCCAAGTGGTGCCTGAGTAAACATCTAGTTTAGTGGATGTGAGTTTTGTTGATTAAATGTAGTCCTCAGTGGAAGTTTGCCAATATCATGCCCCCAACCCCAAAATGATAGTTCAGTGTGATTGACAGCCACTGCTAAAGGGAAGCAAGGACTGGAATACCAAAGGTACTTTGACAGGGTTGTGGGGGGAGCACTCCAGAGGGGGAGAGAGAGAGCAGGAAATAAACAGGCATGGAGATTTATGGCCATTTTAAGCCTTTTTCTTTTTCATAATAAAGAACATTATATTTGGCTGTATATTGATTCCAGATTTTAAAATATCTCTGTCCGTTCCTGGCTGAGGGCGAGAGACATAAGCCAGATTTATTAGTGGCTGTTTAGCAGACTTTACATTAACTTTTCTCCTATTGTGTTCATACTAAATAGTTGTTTACTCATTTTCAGGCCTCTGGCCAGAGGCACTTGGTGAACTGCCATGTGAAGTGCCCACCCATAAAGAAGTGGATGGTCCCCCTTCACTGATATGTTTGCTTCCTGTGGCTGGAATATACGTGAACTGTTGCCACAGGAGTGGCAGAAAAGTCATGTGCTTTGCATCTTCAGCATTCTTCCTCCACCAACTTCTCCACGCCTTTTCCTGAGTTGCGTTCTTGTGAACTTAATAAAAAGTGCTGCACCTTCTTTACTGGCAAACATGACTCCTGAGTCCTTCATAAACCTTACAGGCACGACGGCCAGTTCACAGTCCCCTGAGCCTTCGGCGGTACCCTTTTAAACTAACTTATGTGTGTGGACAATTTGTGGATGTCTGATGGCAGGGCAACATGGATGATGACTAAAATGTCAAGATAAAGTAAAACACAGTGCCAGTCAATGGGGACAATATTGTGAATATTAGGGCAGATACATGAATATGTGACATCTTGACCATGTAACATAAATATCAATGCAGATAATACCAGGAGAGGAGGAGATCGAATGCCCTTACCTCTAGGAAAAATCCAAAGGAGGGAAGTCTTCATAATTCTATTGTGTAGGCAGGTTTTGCTCCACTGTAGAACGGTTAGGGAGTTCTGGCCCCAGAGAGGATCTGTTAGCGCAGGGGAGGGCAAACTATGGCTCGTGGGCTGGATCTGGCCGTTAGGGCTTTCAATCCAGCCCACGGGATTGCCAGCTCCATGGGGCAGCGGGGCTAAGGCAGGCTCCCTACCTGCCCTGGCTAAGAATCCAATGTCAGAGCAGACTTGATGCATCCATGTAATAGGGAGTCCACCTATGTGCTGCCTCCACCCCTTGGTTGGTAGAATTTTATCCCAGATATTACAAGCCACCCGTAAAATGGTGTTCGCTGGAACATTTTGCGCCATGCATGCACGCAACATGTCTGAAAAGTGTAAGAAGCCAACTGTGGACAATAGCCCCAGTAGCCTGTAGACTGGAGTGACCATAAACATCTACCTTACAAATGAAATTATTCAACTTTATGCTCAATTTATGACATTAGCATTTTGTGTGAAAAGCCTCCAAGTTTGCCCAGTCTGAGGAGCATAGTGTCCATGTTTCACAACTACGCAACAGTACAAAGATGATACAGCTTGAATAGATCCTGAACTTGATTGTCATGCCAAGATGATGTTGACTCCTTATTGGTTTTAAACGACCCATGGCAAATGCTGCGATGCCAATCCGGTGGAGAACCTCCATGTGAGGGTTGGAGGAACTCGTGAGTAGAGAACCCAAATAGGAAAAGTTGGAGACTGCTTCGACAGTTTGATTATTCAAAGAGATTGGAGTCATGTGTGGATCTGATCCTAGATGGGTGCAGCTTTCTCTTTGACCACAAAACATGTAGGCCAACGTTAGCCGACTCCTCCTCCATTAGCTGGAGTACCTTGCAAAACCTATCGGGGCTCTGTAAACTAGAAAGAGCAACGTCATCAGCATAGTCAAGGTCTGAGAGCAAGAAATCACCAATTTTAATGCCTATGGAGCTGATGGAATGCTACCTTATGAAATCCATTGCCCAAAAAAAGAGTGCAGGGGTAAAGACACACCCCTGCCTAACACCAGATTTAAAAGGTGTGCTGGTTAATATACCCTGATTTTAATTTAACTCTTTGACAGAGTCTTCCTGGAATAAGGAGGAGATGTCGCCTCGCCTGTACTTCCACAGTTTTCTTTCTCTGCATAATATGGGAGAGCTAAGAGTAACAGCTTAGACAACCTTTCCTTCTGTTTACATCTAAGCTTTAATGTCATTTTAATAGAGTTGTTTTGCATTTAACATTCAGTTCTAGTTCCCCATTCATATGGACAAGAATATAATAAAGCAGCTTTATGCAGTTTTTCGATATCCAGATCATCAGCACATCTATAGTTTGCAAATACAAGGAGACTGAACAGAGTAAAGACCATCACAGAGAAATCAAAATTTGAGTTACCTCTCTTACAGATGTCTGTCTAATGAACTTTTCTTTATAAAATTTACTATTAGGCAAATGTAATATAAAGAGATATATTGAAATGAAGAGTATGTTCGTTCTTCATAAAGAGATTGAGGTATTAAATATTTATAAAAACATATTAAACTGGCAAGTGTATGAAAACATTACTACATCTTCATCACTTTCACATCTGATCTTTATATAAAGAACCTCTTTGCTATAAAGATAGGACCGAATTGTAACATTGGAGTCATTCTCTACAATTTTCACACCAGTGGCTACATATTATTCTTTAGCTTTTCCTAATTCACAGCACAACTAACAGTGATGAGAAACCAATGAATACTACTTCTTAAAGGAAAGGGTCATGATATCAGTGGACACTCTTACCCACTGGAAATATTGGGCTTTTGCTGTGGAGTCCTTAACTGAACTGCTCACTGGTGTGAAAGGGATTTATTCAGCATTCTTCTGAAAATTATAGATGATTAACTGTTCAGTACTTAGCTGGTTAAGAAATGGTCAGTTTGAGTGGCTATTACCTATGTAATATTTAACACTTTCCTTATTAAAATTTTTATTTAATTAACTAGTCCTCACAGTAGCCTTGTGAGTAAAACAAGTACCATCTCACTTTTTTTTTTATCAATAATGGGGAAACTGATGCAGAGTGGCTGCCCAAAGCCACAGAAAAGATTCCATGTCACAGCAGAGTTAGAGCTCAAGTGGGTGAATTAATTCTCAGTCAGCTACACAAATTACTACATCTGACCCCTCTCAAAGTCAGTGGGATTATGGGGCCAATAAGGAAAATGGGCCTACCACTCTCCTGCTTTAGCGCAACCACCATTCAGAGTGTGGCATTTTACCAACTATGGAATGAATTGCAAGCTATAATATATAAACTGACTAGTCAGCACTTGTGGATTTCCGAATGCTCCACCCAAGGTAAAGTGATGTCAGTTTCCACTGTAACCAATGAATAAAACAACCTAATTTATCTACACTGTTTTAAGGATATTAAAAATATATAGATACAAGGGTGTTGGGGTTATGGTCTAGTAATGGGCATCAATTAGTTGCAAGGAACTCAAACATTTTAATCCCAGATTTAATATTTATCTCCTCTGTGGCAGCAGGTAACATGTACTTTAGGCCAGCGTTATCAAACTTGGCTGCTTAAAGTCAAGCATTTACAGATATATTTTGGCACCAAAGTATGTAGTCTAATTTTCAGAAGTTCAGGGTTCCTAAAGCTTTAATAGATGTTTAGAGGAGAGCAGCACCTATGAAAATCAGATCACTTTTAGGGTATGACTGCACTGTAGAATTAACTCTCTCAAGTTAGCCTCACTTGAGTGAGAGTTGCCACACTGAAATAACACTCAAGCTGTGTAGCCACACTCTCACTGTACTCATTCGGGTATGGCACTAAAGATTTCTGGAGGCATATCCCAGGGGGGCATTCTTTGCACTGCTTTAAACTGAGCTGCTCTTTCATTTCTTTCCCAGGGAATTATGGGAGGACTTGTCTATCCTTTCTGGGCACTAGAAGGAAATGTGGGAAGGCACTGGAGGAATAGTGGCACTTGAGTGGAACTAGCCTGCATCCCCATGGCAGAGAGATCATGTTAGCTGCTGATGAATTGTGTTCACTTGGAATTTAGCCAATAGCTCCTAAGGGGCCAGCTAACTTGAGTTAAAAGTGTGTGGATAGAATCTGAGTTGGGAACAACACTTGAGTTAACTTTTCAGTGAAGATAAACACTTATGTAGGTAGCTAACTTCAGACATAAGTTTGAAAATTTTGGTCTAAACCTTTCTGTCTTAGCTTCTCCTTATTCAGACAAAACTGACTTCAATGAGACTTTTGCTTGAATAGGGATTTCAGGATCTGATTCTGTAAAATGGAGATAATAATACCTCTCAAGAGACTGTAAGGATTAATTAATGTTTATAAAGCAATTTCAAGGTAATAAATGCTAAGTGCACTTATTAATAATACCAACCTTATGTAAATTGAGTGGACAGATGAGCTGGAGAACATTTCATTATTCCAATTAACATTACAGACAGATGACCTGATTCCCTGCTTCCTTGCATCTTGAGAAGTCACTTACACATCTGCAAAGGGAGCATAGAGTGGGTGTAAAATGTTACCAAAGCAGAATAGTAGCATTTTACACCAATTTACACAGCTAGAAATGACAACATGTGGTCCAAGGCAGTGGAGAATTAGGCCCAGACAGTATAAAGTATCTTGAATATAATTAAGAATCAAAATTCTGGATTACCTGTGATTAGTGAAAGGATGGCATAGTACCTCCACAGCCTTGATGTACTGTTTAGAGACTGACAATTTCTAGTTGTTCCATTTAACAACTATTAGTCTCCTCATGATTGTATCTACCAAGTTGTTCATAAAATAGATCCAGTTAGTAATATTTATTATTCCCCGATCTTGCAAGTTGGAATGAGCCTAAAATGAATTTTAGTTATCAAAATACAGCAGAGTCAATTGAGCCCTTCCCAGGTGGATAAAATGAGTACTGTGCACTCCACTCTGTGGCCAAACATGTTCCTTACACACAACCTCGGGGAATGAACTGGCCAAGCTTTGTGAGGTTTGACGAGGAAAATATTCTCCCTGTCCTACCAGGCCGTGAAGCTACTGCACATCCACTGCTACATGTTCAAGGCTGTAGCTCCCTAAGCAGGTGGTATGGGTTAGCCAATCCAGCTGTGTCGTTGCCACCCACCAAACCCCTCTGCTTTCTAGAGTGGAAAGAGTACAGGTCTCTGGGGTGTAAAAGGTGTGAACTGCTCTACATCCTCTCTTTAACTTCACAGTGGAATTGCATCACTTCCACAGTGTGGGAGGCTGTTCATGGCACTTTATGGATTGAAGGAATCTGGCCTTCTGTGTGGATCTTTCAGATGGGTCCTTAAATTGCTTTCATGATCTGGAAAATGAGAATGATTCTCCATGATATAAATGACACACAAAGCAAATTTACTCAGTTCACAGCTGAGAAAGATGTTTTTCTAACTGCCAGATCTGCAAACTCAGCCTTGCATCTGAAAGTCAAGCTGCAGGCCAAAATTCTACCTAAAGTTACATCTTTGCAATGCTATTGTTTGAAATAGGGTTGCAAAGAAATAAATTAGGGAAGAATTACCTCTACCATTGGAATGTGGTTAACAATTCTGTTAATCAGCTGTATAAATCATAGAAAGAATAATTTCTGGCTCACTCTCACAGCTCTGTTAGCTATGGAGTGCTAACAGGAGAAAAATAGTAAAAACATTTCTGTCACTAGCATAAAAGGATGTCATTCTTAGTTAACACAGAAATCAGGCCTTTTGGGTAACAGACTACCATTTGCACATATCACTTTCCATAGTAGAACCACACTTAAAAAACAAAAGGAGTACTTGTGGCACCTTAGAGACTAACTAATTGGTTAGTCTCTAAGGTGCCACAAGTACTCCTTTTCTTTTTGCAAATACAGACTAACACGGCTGTTACTCTGAAACTTAAAAAACAGTGGCTCAATCCTGCTTCCATTAAAGTCAATGATAGTTTGGACATTGATTT